GGGGTGTGGGGGAAGCATAGAACTACACCCACGCCCACAGCCACAGCCACAGCTACACCAACACCCACACACCCACACCCCACCCACACCCCACACCCACACCCACCCCCACTCACACCCACCCACCCACACCCTCACCCCACCCACACCCCACACGCCACCCACACCCACACCCTCAAGGGTATGACGATCGACTATGGAAAAGTGCAAGCATTACATTTAACATCAGTATCAACTCAAACAACAAATCAGGACGAAACACCAAACGTATTGTTTGAAATAAAATATCGAATACTTTTAGAACAATATGAAAAATTAGAAAAAGAAAATCAAGATTTAACAACAGAAATTAAATGTTTAAAAGCAAAAAATAAAAAAAAGATAATTAAATACAAAAAAATAAAACAATGTGCAAAAGTGTTAGATTTAGATATCAATCTTTTAAAGCAATGCAAAGGTGACAGTTCTACAATAACTTCTCGTAATGTTACTCGAGAATTATTCCCCGATGCTGCTGAACGAGCATCAAAAACAATCTCAACAATAGAGAAAACTAAGGTTACAGCAATTGTAGGTAAGTATAAAATATAATATTTAATATCTTGACGAAATTCAAATGATTGCCTACATTCGGAACATTTCTCACTCAATATTCATCTATTAAATATCAATTTGATTATTTTAGAATTTGCAAGAATCGTTTATCCTGGCGAATCCAAGTCCAAACGTGATTTAACCAATGCAATTGGTAATGTTTTCGCTAGTGAAAAATCACAAGAACAACAGAAAAAAAATGATTGAATTTTTTTTTAAACAAGAGGAATAAAAAAGCTTTTTCCAATTAGGAAAAATGTTCTTCGCTTCAATTGATATCACTTAAGATAAAAAAAGTCGTCTCTCATAAAATATGAACAATAGATTGCATTCATTCAGATGTACATCGAGAAAACAAAATCGTTCGAAAGAAAAGATCCATTTGCATGAATACCAAACGGTTCTCAGCACCAATGCATTAGATTGTATCAGCATGAAAAACAATCGAAGGTGTTTTTCTAAATTCTGAGTATATTCAAGATGTCCATAAGTTAATGGCTGAGAATGATTTAATTTATCGAAACGATGAATTTCTTTTCCTCAAATCAAGAAAAATAGAATGATAGATACGAAAATTCGATTCATCGATTTATAGAATTGATCAATTAATATCAATATTTTCTTACTTTTCTTTGCTAATTCCTCCTTTGGTATTTCGATTTAACCTTCCATGACGAAACTGAATCTTTACTAAATACTCCTCCATTACTGAAAATATTCGATTTTTTTTCTTAAAACATTGTTTTTGGTAACAACACAAAAAATTAACTTTTGAGAGAAAAACAAGAGCGAGAGAACATGTTAAAATTTTCTTTTGCAAAAATACTTCAATAGACGTATGTTCATATAAATGAAGAAAAACTGAATAAAAAAGATTTGAAATTCATTGTTTATGCCTGAATGGCATCAGATACCGTATTTGCATCAATTGGAGATGCGTTTGAGATTGATTGATAGATATTAAAATTATTTTGACGAAGTAATAGTACCAATCGTTCACTTCATATTGGTGGACGTGCGATAAATGTACAAATTAAATGTTCTCATACACTATTATAGACACCCATTCCAATAACTAATAGAACAAGATCAGCGATTTGATATAGATAAAAAAACTGTTATGTTAAAGTCAATGAAACGATCCAGATGATTAATATTCGACCACTAATAAGAATCGTAGGTGGTGTTGAACATAATCTTTAATGATGGATATATCAGCGAAGTCAAAAGGACAACTGAACAAATCAATACTAGGCTTAAAAAATGTTCAAAAAATGAAATAATTGAATTTTTCTGTACCGATAGTAGCTAAAATAAATCTCCGACTGCCCTAGATTTGCCAGAATGGTGATAGAATATTTTTAAGACGATGGTTTAAGCCAGCGTTTGATGATAGAAAAATAATGAAAATAAAAATAAAAAATTGACTATATTCAATCAAAATCTACAGAAATTCCCAAAACTTTATTGAAATAGGAAGACTAACCGTATTAAATCGAAAGAAACCTTTACAACCGACTGTTTGTGATGTTCGAATATGATATTCCCCAATTAAATACTCTTCATAAACCATCTAAATATCAAATTTTCAGTTTTATTTTATTTTTCGTAATCAAGAAAATCTTTTACTTCAATAAAAGTTGTAAATAACCTCTAGTGAAGAGTTGATGGGTCATTGAAATTGTTCATGGAAGAAGAAAAAAGTCAAACTGTTTACTCAGACATCCTCAAGTGACTCAAGTAAAATAAACTGGAAAGTCTTTGCCAATAACTCATATCAATTCATCCCCTTCACTTTTAGCGAATCGTGCGAAAAAAAAAGAAAAATATTGATTAAATCGATCATATGATAAAATATTCCACATCTCTTTTCATATTCAACTATCAAGAATTCGTTTTCATTGTCTTTGAGTAATAATTTATTAAAATCACATTTTCGCTTTTTTACATAGAGCTGGAACTAGATTCGTATTCTCTGTAAAACAAATATATCATGATCGAGTTTTTAAAAAAATTAAAGAAGTTTTCTTTTTTACTATTTACTACTCATACTAAGACGTGATTTTTTTGAAAAATTAACAATATATTTGAATTTCTGAATACTTTCCACCTTCGAACAAATGCTTTCGGTTTTATTATTAGCAAATTCTTTTTTTCGGCTTGTTCAAGCGTGACGGAATCACATTTTTTTCTCGTGTAAGCTCTGTATCTCGGTCGTATGGAAAGCCACAGGTCTGAATCTTATACAGTTTGTGTAAGCCTAAATCCTCTTCAGAATTATCGAAGTTTCTCTCAAGTTTACCGAATCTTTTTTTGTTTTATAATCAAAAATATACATCGTTACGGAATCACACAAGACGGAACGTCATGTTTGACGAATTGCACAAAAATGCAAAATTGTGTCCAAAAACAGGAATAAAATTAAAACGATTTATAGCGAACTGATACCTTAGATGATGCAGTATGTGAAGAAAAAGAGAATTTGAAAAAATACTTAACGCTGCCTTTACGCCGCAGAAATATGCGTCGTGACGGAATCACGTTTTCGCATATCTAGTTGTCCACTATAAAAACTCTTTCCAGACCAATTTCGCATACATATGTGTTCAACATATCACTGTCAGACTGAAATTGAAAAGTCGGGCTATATATGTCATCAGCTTCAGAATATAAATAAACTATTCTGTAAAAAATTCCCCTCAGAGATACGCTTTTACGTGCACAAGCCGTTTTCTGGAATGTTAGAAAAATTTTGAATATTTTTTTGACCTTCATAGGGACAAACATGTTGCTATCTTCTCGCTGTAATACTCTCCTTTCAGTAGAGGGAATCAACAACAGATAGTGACTTAACAACGTTTTTTGCATCAAGGACGTACAAAAAAGGAAGTTTATCTTTTACTTGTTTCCGCTGATGAGTCACTGTCATACAGAATTGACACAGACTTCCGGATTTCATCAGACTTATCTTTTTTTTACAGCGCTAGTAATCATTTCTTCTTCAAAGAAGTCCAATATATTATCGCAAAACTACGAACTCCCGCATTCTGGAATTATTCACTGTCAAATTAATAAGCCAAGACTACATAGAAGTACTCCAATTTAAATGAGCATAACTATCCAAAAACTAAAACACAACACAAACTTATAGTGTAATGATAGTTGATGACCAGGCCGCATAATATCTTATCAATGATATATCACAGTACATGACGGTACATATCCACTTATTCTAGCTTTTTTTTTCCATATATTATCAGAGTACATGATGTACATGATAATACATGACAGTTACATATCCACCTATTCTAACTTTTTTTGGATACATTGTCAAAGTACATGATAGTACAGAATAATACATATCCACCTATTCTAGCTTTTTTTGGATATACTATCAAAGTACAGGTGTTGCAAAACCTTTACGCCCCCCAGGTTCGACCTTAAAGTAAAA